GCTATCAAGTGTAGTTTTCCCCTCATCTAAAAGTTTCTGGCACTCTTTTGGATCTCCTTGCTCAAGCTTAAATAGGGCAATCTGCATCTTAATATAAAGAATTGGCTCCTCTATCCGTATCTCCTTAGTATTATGAAGTTTCTCCGTCACTCCTTCAAGGAAGCCTATAGCGGCTTCTTTCTCAGGGTATTGCCGAGAAACAATGACCGCAAATTGTGCAAGTTTGAGAAGATTGATCTTTGTCTCAAAATCAGTGATGAAGTTGTGATACAATTGTATTAGTCCATCGCCAGCCTAAATAAAGAGAAGAGAGGTGTTATATGCAAACAAAGCATAATAAAACAACCACTCGCTATGGTTTATCTCTTTACTATAACACAACACACCGAACCATTACGAATTAATTGGGAATAAATATAATAATGGTATAATATTTTAATCCTGGAGAATAAACCCCCTGAAACAAGATTTAATATTGAATAATTTTAGTTATATCAGCTCCACCTCAATTTAAATCATTAATACAGGACAAGGATAAACGATAGACACATTTAGATGATTGAGAACTTCTCTTGGGGGATATGTAATTGAGATGATTTGAAATAATAATTTTTAAAAAAACCTTAACATCACTGGATAACTTGTCTGCTTATTTTGCCACCAAGTTCTGAATCAGGGTCCTAATAGTATTCCTATGCCAATACAGATGCATTTGCATGATTAGGCATAGTATCAACAGTTACATGCTAATTGACGCTACATGTGACTACCAAACTGTATAAACCTACAAACACATGCAAAAAAGAGTAAGATCTTTTTTAAACAAATGTTAGTAGTGTACATTTCTCTGAATTTATAAACCATGGAATTTGCACGGTATACAAAGAGAGCATTTTTACTTAAGGAGATCAAATACTACATAAGTGTCTTTTAGCATGATACTAACTTCGAATTCAATTGAATCAATTTTCCAGGGTCCATAATCCCAAAGGAGTGTTTAGAGGAAGTCTCTAATGGATTTGCATTAAGCTGAGTTTACCTCATAATGAATTTGGATTATAGATACAAAAAAAGGTCATTTAAAAAAGGTCATTTTCCTTCCATTAGCACCACGTAGGGTTCTGTGAAATAAAACATGCTGAAATTTCTCTCCATCATCACCTACGGTTATCTTCAAGAAAATTCTCTAAGAAAAAGACAATTCAGTTTCTGCAATGAAGTTTCCCTTGAACACATCCTCATACAATAACAAAGTGAATTTCACAAATTCATTTTACAACACTACTTCCCTATCAAGATATTAGTGAATTCTTTTTTTCCATATCAAAATTTAGAAGATTGTAAATATTGTTGTTGTTGTAATATTTAGAAGATCAGATCTTCCCCTCCGTCGCGAGTTCAATTCCAAAAAAGACGAAAATACTTTGTAATTTCTTCTCATCTATATCCAAGCTTAGTGTACAGAGTTACCTGGTACTTGGTTTTGTGGGAGGTAGCAGATATTCTGTGAAATAAGTCGAGGTGCGCACAAACAAGTTCAGACACTACTTCATCAAAAAAACAAGTTCAGACACTATGCTTACTATTTAAAAGATTAGATCATCTGAGTCAATATCAGGGCTTTCAAATACCAAACATAGTATAAAATGGCTTGGCGCGGGAAGGTCCTCTTTCACGGGTGTTTTATTGTATTATTTGCACGTTTCCCAATATGCAAACTTCAGCTATAGAGAGGTCTTATATGTGAGGAACGCATTCAACTGCCCCACCCCTCCACATTTCCCCCCATTCCCCCAAACAACTTGAACAACATAGAACTCAATGAAGCACCACTCAAGTTACTATCAGCTGATACATTATCTTTGCAGTATCCACCATGCTACTCTAGTTCAATTAGAAATTGTAACTATGACACCTGAGGCTTGCACGCACTAATCTATTGGCAGTCTGCTATAGCCAACAAGACCAAGTGAAGGGTAAACCTGTCCACAATATAGTTTGATTGTTATGTCTACTATAACCCAATTCAAAACATTCTTCTCCAGTTGAACTATCCATCAACCAAAAACAAACAACCAAACTCCTGCTTTTATGCATTTTGTTCTGTTCCTTGTCAGGAAGCACCAATGTTATATTTTTTTAAGTAACCATGATGTTTGGGCCAGCTTACGCATACTTCAACTAATTCCAATGTGTCACCTCCCATTTCTCCTCCATCAACAGGTACCAGGTAAAATGAGAATAAATCACCTAGTGTTTTTGTCTCTACTTATATTTGAACCAGAAACCTCATAGCGCACAACCTACTTCATTGACCATTAGGTCACAGCCTTAGCTACGAAGCCCCAATTTTTGTAACCCTTCCAAAAGCAATAGAATAGTTCTAAGCTCAAACAGCTCCCAATTCTTATCCATCCCAAAATCAAATCCTATATATAAATCTCTAACACAAATCCTCTACTAAACCCTAACTTATACCCACCTAAACCCATAACATGGGAGAATCTAAGTAGCTTTCAACTTGGTTGGGGAGGGTTCCAGGTCCAAACAATCCCCAATTCTTACCCATTCCAAACCAAATCCTATAAGTAAATCTGTAGCACAAATCCTCCACTAAACCTAACTTATACCCACCTAAACCCATACCATAGAAGAATCTTAGTAGTTCAGTTAGTTGATAATTATCGAAACTTTCACCTTGTTTCTAGGCCCAAACAACCCCCAATTCTTACCTGTTCCAGACCAAATCCTATAAGTACAATCTTCCCCTAAACCCTAACTTATACCCACCTATACCCATAGCATGAGAGAATCTTAGCAGCTCAGTTAGTTGACAGATTAACTGAACTTTCACCTTGTTTAGTGAGCACTCAATTCCTCACCTTACAATCATCTCCACTTAACAAAAAGACAAAAAAAAAAAAATAGCATGCGCACACGCACAAATAAAGTCCAAATACAACAAAAAAACAAACGAAATTCGCAGGAATTAAATCAAATTCAATGAGAACCTTAAAAACGGGAAGAGCAACAAACTGTTCAAGCTTAAGAGTAAGCTGATGCCATAGCTTCCTCTGGTACAGATCTGCCAAAGTAGTGTACCAATCGGAAAGCTGTGAAGGAGCATTGCAAAACGATTCCAAGTACTGAAGTGCCGCCATAGCTGAAAAAGCTCTCTCAGTAACACCGATGAAGACGAAGCAGATACTGTGGTGTGTATGTGAGAGAGAAAGATACCTGACTTGTAAATTGCGTTTTACTTGTTCATAAAGAAATCAATAATGGAGTTTGGGTTAGTCCAGTTTAGTCTCTATTCTATTATGCATTGGACCCCTAAAGTTTACAAATATTAATTGTTTTTTATTCAATATACACGTTCAGAGATCGAATATGAAAATTTAAAAAAAATTATAATTCAAATAAATAAAATAAATTTCAATTGAATTTATTAAATTTAATCATAATCGTTCATATTTTCAATTTTAACTTTTGAATTTTAATGTTAGGTCATCAAAATTAATTGTCTCAATAGTGTTGCTTACTCATAAAAGTCGTTCATCTTTATGTAAATTAGTGTTGCAAAAAATATATGAGGTTAGATAGAGATTACTATATAATTATTTAACTATTAATCTATAAAATCATATAATGATATCTAATGGCATAAATGATATAATGGGTAGGATCATAGAGTTCAAACTTATTAAATATTTAAAAATATAACTTATTAGTAATATTTAGCATATATAATATGAAAATAGAATCAAATATCACACTTGTGAATAGGAATGGCGATGGGATGAAATAGATGCGAATCAGAACAGGTTTAAGGCTATATAAGATAAAATAAATTTAAAATTGTATAGTGCAGATAAAATATGAATCTAATTGAAATATTTTTTAAAAATTTAAAGTGATAAGATAATTTTAAAAGGAATGTAACGAGAGAGATTTTGATGATAAATCAGTGCCATATCAAAGTCAACTATATTGTAGCATAGAAATGTTTATGATTTAAAGCTTATGTATATTAATAATAATCTCAAATTAATATTCTAATAATAATTGAGTTTATAATTAAGTGTTTATAATTTTTCTAATAAATATGAGATTTGAACAAAAATTATTATATGTACATGAATCTGTAATCAAAATTCTAAATTATGTTTTCATGCATATGAAACAAAGAATCTATCGTAACTCTTTAAAAAATATTAACTCCAAGTCTTTCTAGTTTCAAAAGTCTAAAGAGAAAGTCAGAAATTTTACTTAAATCATATAAAATTTAGTATATATAATAGTATTTTTTATCTATATACCATAATATTATTCTTTTTAACACACAATCTAATTGTGCAATAAAAAGTGATTAATGTATAATTAATTAAGGATATTCATTTGACTATTCTTTAAGAGATATATATAGATAATTAATTTTAATAATAATTGAGTTTAAGCTTAAGACTTAAACTCAAATTATTTAATTTAGATTGTTTGACTATGAGTCAAAAGAATTTAATTAGTCTACATACGTTTCGCGGGTGCTAGCTTAAATAGTTTCTAGAGTTATATATCCTTAAAGTATCATAAGTAAATTATATACTTTGTACACTATATAAATACATAAATATTTTCTATTTTATTTTTACATGTAACAGTTTCGTTATTATATTTTTCTCAATACTTGTTGATATAATGCTTAATTTGAGTCGAATGTTTAGTAAAAATAATTATTCTAATTTCACAAAAAAGAATTCACTTTAAATTCCACATTGAGTATCTTGTTGATTATGATGATTATAGAGAAGGAACATATTACATACTTGACTCAATTGCACACATATACTATTGATTGTTATACTAATTGAATGTATTATTGTAAATGCTTATCCTCTTGATATTGTCAAAATTCCAGTAATAAGATATTGACTTGATAATAGTTATATCACAAACTTTATTGGAAGTTTAATAAATTTAAATTTATGTTTTATAGAGCTAACTAAAGGAGATAAATAAAATGTCCATTAAGAGTTTAGTTATTTCATAAAATTCGAGAATTTAAAACTCTGATTAAAGATTGACATTATAATCGTCCAAATTCCACAAGCCAATATCCCACATGATGTCTTCATTAGATGAGGCCTCAGGCACTTGCACATAATTAGCATATCCATTGATCATAGAACCAAACAAACCACCTTGTTGATCTTGCTCATGAAATGTGTTGTTATGGTACAAAATGGTCATGTCTTGTTTTGGCACATGACTTACAACTTTATTCTCATTTTCCTCGAACAGTAACATCATCCTTTTCAGGTCGATTTGACTATTCGATAATTGTTGCTGTTGAAACTGATGTCTTTTTAAAAGACAGATTCTTTTTGTTTTTTCAGAATTATCAGTACTTGTTTTCTTGACTTTCTTTTTGAAATGAGTCCTCCAATAATTCTTAATTTCGTTGTCAGTTCTCCCTGGCAAGTTTCTAGCAATCGTTGACCATCTGCAATTTTATTATTCTTATCATGTTAGTATTATTCTAAATTATTTCAAAGAACTTTAGTGTATGAAAAATTAGTATATAGTACTTCAAATAATTACCTATTCCCCCATATAGCATGAAGTTCAAGAATAATCCTTTCTTCATATGGAGTAATTTGCCCTCTTTTAAGGTCTGGCCTTAAGTAATTCACCCATCTCAATCTACAACTTTTTCCATTTCTTTTCAATCCTGTTTAGACAAGTAAATAAATGAAAAATCGAGTTTTAAATTTCCAGAAACTACACAATCATATAGACAAAAAGATATCGGATTTTAAATTTCGAGAAACTACACAATTATGTAACAAAAAAAAATAGATCGCATCTAAAAGTTTCAAATAGGATGAGAGATTTTCTAATAAAAATACTCGTATATGAAGTCAACTCATAATTGATCAAAGTGAATGAGAATGAAATGGTACATACATTTTCTTTTGGGATTCGAATGTATAGTATTACTATTGAAACTCTGATTAATTCAAATATTTTATCGTTCGATTCGACTCGATCGATGATAGGTTTGTTCAAGATGGAAGTGAGTGAAAATATAGACAATATAGTAATTACCAGCAAGCCTAGCAACACAATTCCATCTGCCTTCACCATGCAAATTGACATAATCAATGAGCAATTTATCTTCTTCAACTGTCCAAGGACCTTTTCTCCATTCTTCTTCAATAATTCCCCACCTTCTCATTTATTTATTTTTTTATAAATATTCTTAATATTCAAAACTAATATATATTTTGTCCTCAAAATTCTATAACATGATTAGCAAGTGTTGTTGCTATTTATATTTGCACCAAAAACTCACTCATTGGTCAATTTTTTTTATGACAAATGAATTATAGCTAAACATGACTCCATTAATTATAGCACTTGGTATAAAATATTATTTGTCCTCATCAATTGTATAGTTACGTGTACATGTTATAATTTACTACTCTTAGAAAATTCAAAGAAGGCATTGAAAGATTTGTTTGGAGAAACCAAAGGAAGTTGTAACATCACATGTATACAATTTGGAGACAATTTTATTTGTATGACTTTTCTACAATAAATAATAAACTCTTTTAGTTTGATGATAACTTGCATTAAATTAATTTTTAGAACTTTTTTCATCGTTATCGATCTATTTTATGTTTGATGTTTATATTTATTGGGTTAGATTCGCATTAGATGTCTCTTGTTGGGGTAAAACACTCTCAATGATACTTGTATTGGTATCAGACAAAGTTTAGATGCAGATTGGAAAGTCTTATATTAGGGTTAAAGCACTTTAATTTGTACGTCGTATTGAAATCAAAGTAATATGTATTCATGTCGAGAAGTCTCAAATTAGGATAAAGTGCTTTCACTGGTATTCATTAGAAATCAAACTGCATTTGGATTTGCCAAGAAAAATCTCAAAATTGGAGGTAAGTTGCTTCCATCAGGACACGTATTGAAATTAAACTGAATTTGAATTCGTGTAGAAAAATCTTATATTCGGGTAATACATTTGTATGAATACTCGTATTGAAGGTAAAACGCTTCCAATACTTTCTATTATATGGGCAAAGCACTTTCACTTGTACTCATATTAGGATCAGACCAAATCTAAATCTACATCGATAAAATCTCATACGTGGGACCAAGTAAAGCTTTTCTATTGCTATTTATATTGAGATCAGACTAAATTCAAATTCGTGTTAAAGAGTTCATATCAGTGAAATTCTCCCACTGAAACTTACATTGGGAAGAGAAAAATTAATTTTTAATCCGAATCGAAATGTCTCGTATTAGTAATAAAACATTCCTAAAAAAAGCGACCTAAACATAACATTATTTTTGATTAAAAATACAATATTTATCGCTTCACTACGATAATTCCCATTGCTAAACTTATAAAACTTGGCTATTGTTGACTACCAAGAGATTTGGTGACATTGGTAGCATGCATCTTGATCAAAGTCACCAAAGAATATTTTTTAGTTATTAGGTTTAAACAACACAAAAGTGATTAGGCCACTCAAAAGAGAGGACTAGAAAGGCCACCTATAACCTAAAATAATGCATCTAGACAACTATATTCATACTTAAATAATGTTTTTTGCTAAAAATAATGAAGTTAGGAAAATTAGTAAAATAAATTAGTGGATAATTTTCAATGTGATCCAATAAGAAAGATGCAAGTGTTTAATTAATATGCTTACTTCTTAAGGATATAGGTGCACAATAATTACTATTATATGATAATTAATTATAATTTGTTGGATGCCATTTTGGGAATGGAGTTCATTAGAATAACAATATTTTTCACTAATTATATTAGCTAAAGTAACAGGTGTATTGTTCATGTCATGATTTTGGAAGTATACATAAAAGCCTAGATTCTTGCTTTTCTTAGTTATATCTTATATATGTATTTTTTGTACTTCTATTTTTGAAATATATAAGTTACATTAATACATCTAATATCATATGGATAGAAGTGGAAATAAAATAAATGAACACAATTTCCTCCATTTTTATTATTTTTATGGATAGAAATGGAAATAAAATATTGACAAAAATTTCAAAAGAATAAAATCATTGGTAATGTAGCAATTTAGGTGTAGGAATTTAGATAGTGTCGTTAGATAAATCGCTCCAATAGCAGCAATTTATAAAATTTATTTTTTAATTCTTTTAACAAATCAGCGCTGCCAACAATTTGATAAATGATTTTTTAAAAAAAATTATAAATCGCCAGCAATTTTACTTTTTTAAAAAAAATTAATTATCTTTTGAAGTCAAAATGTTCTTTTTTTTTTTACTTTTTTATAAATTTTAAAGTAAATCGCTATCTTGACAACAATTTTACTTAATTTTATTTTTTTAAAATTTTGAAATACATTAACACAACAAATTTGTTAAAAAAGATCAATAGATTTTAAAGCAAATTGACACGTCAAATTTGCAAAAAAAATTCACATGCATGTTAATATTTATATTTGAATGTGAAATGTGAAATTGAAAGTTTGACAATGCGACTATTTTTTTTTGACTAATTACAATTTAAATAGGTGAAATCGTCATTCCTTCAAAAAAATAATTACAATAATCAGTAAATAATTCAGTTGAAGCAAATACTGAAATCATTCTACACTAAAATATTAGAATTAACCATAGTTTATTCTCTACTTTTTAAGAGTAGAGACATCAATATCCTAAATATCTATATCTTAAATATTTGCATACCGCCATTTACGATAATCCATTTACT